GAAATGGCTGCCTGCTGTGTCTCTGTATGTCACAGCAACATGTAGCTCAGAGACTCATGCAGAGATTCTGCGGGCATCTTCCTCCAAGGCCAGGCCATTGCACCTCCCAGATGGCAATTCATTGGATGTAAGACTGAACCATTCCCCGTTCCTTTTGACAGACTCTCGAATTTCAATTTGCAAGGAATGAACACTCAGACTTATGGGGAAGGTACGCATTTAGACTTCTGCGGCTTTCTTGGATCAGTGCCCCAGTTCCTGCAGTAACTCATGACCGCATGCCCCCAGGTAGAGTCAAAGCAACTACAAAATCACAGCCCATGTAGACACTTTTATAACCTGCTAGTCACATACACCAATACAGAGTGTCAAGTTTCCAGATAACCAAGTCAAGTTTCCAGGTGAGGGTGTTCAAAGATAGGCTGGATATGCACATGGTGGGCATGTCATGAGTGGAGCCGGCTGGAGCTGGGGGTCAGACTAGATGGCCCGGGAAGCCCCTTCTGACTTGCTCTGTTTCTGTGTTTCTATAATGTTAATACGATAGCATCTTGATATCTTTAGTCATGACATAATGTTCTAAACCAATCAGAAATACTGGTATCAATAGTCTGGAGAATATTACTGATTGCTTTATTGACATGTCAATTCAGAAGATTTCTTTGCAGTTTGGATCAGCCTGTGTCTGTTTAAACATGCAAATGCGTCTGATGGAGGAACCATTCAGGAAAACTGGTTTGACAACTACACAGTGCAGGCGCTTGCCTCGGTGGAACTAGATGATTAAATGGGTCCATTCAGAAACAAAAGAATGTCTTTGTCTCAGCTCCCTGCAGCTGATGGGAACACCTTATGTCCCACTGATAGTGTTAGCCTACAGCACCTTCTCAGTCCAGCTAAGAATTCCACCTTTTTAAAGGAACAGCAACACTAAACCGTAACCTGCCTTGGGATTCTGCTGCTTTCTGAGCCACAGGTTTGATTTTATAACACAAAGGCACATATAAGCAACCTTTTTCTACCAGGGTTTATCTGAATTTTCCCAACACTTTTGAGGTGTGCCTCAGAAAGGTGTGAGAATCACTGAGGATGCCAACCGATAGTGTGGCTGTGAATGTACACAACTGACCACCAATTGCACAGCACCTTCGGAAGCTCAGGGCACGCACGGTCTTGCAGCAATTGTGCCCTGAACTGCAGCGGCTTGCACCCGAGGGCCTTCTCAGCCCTTTCTAACTCTGTTATTCTATCACCTTACAACAGCTTGCAAGGTAAGTCAGTATTATGTCCCCCCATGTTGTGCACGAGGGGACTGAGGCTGAGGGAGTTCATGCCGGAGGCCAGGATCAGACCTCTCCCAGCTCAAGCCATTGGCCACTATTCCAAGTCCTTGCTTGATCCTGCTTCTCGGCGGGGGCTGCAGAACCCTTCCAGCATGAGGGTCAAATTCCATCCCGGAGAACTGGAGCAGGGAGGGGCTCTAGGTGGTGGTGGAATTTGCTGATGGCAAAAGGCTGAGCTAAATCACCAAAACGACTTGACACTCTTCCTGCCAGCAACTTAACCTTACGAAAGGCTTGTCAGCCTTTACACGGGAGGAACCGCACGAAGCCCAGGAGAACAGCAACCGATTGGTGGGGAAAGGGAGGGCAGTACAGGGAGACGTGACTGCCTGGAGGTCCAACGGGGCCCCACCGAGGGCTGGAGGGCTCCCCAGAACGGCAAGTCTGCTAGCGATCCCGGATAACCCGCTCACACGCACACAGGCAGCGTCACCTCGGCTGGCCACACACGCCGGACGAGCTTCTGCAAACGGCCCTGCGAAACTTGGCTGCGTGGCATCGGTGCAGCACCCTTGAGAAGGAAACGCACAACAAAGCAAAAGGACAGGGGAGGCTATCAGTTTTCGTAGGTTTTGCCTAAGTTTTGCATATTTATAGGGGAGGCTGCGAATTTAGAAAAAACGACTTTGTTGTAACAGGAATACAGCACATGTCTTGGGGCCACCTGCAGAGGCCCCGTTCTTCCTCCTCACGGTTTAGTTCTTCCGACCACACACAGATAAGGCCTCCCTTCGGACACAGGACACGTGGCCATTCCAAAGGCACCGGCCTATTTAAAGCTTGCTCCAAATGGGGAGAATCACCATTTCGTCTGGCTGTTTTGTGTGTTGTGCATCAAGCGGACTCCTGCAGCGACGCCGCAAATGCTGCGGCCACAGCTTCTCCGCAGTTCTTTCGCTAGCACTCACATGCTCAACATCAGAGGGCTGACTAATGGAGCACATGGCACGCGGCATCTCAGCTCCCTGAAACTGCGAGGTGTGAGGTGTAATTGCACAGGCGTTTCTTCCTGGGAGGTGTTTCTTCGTGCCAGCTGGAAAGTAAATTCCAGAGCCCGGGAGAGCACCGCTTCGTCTCCCCAGGAGAGATTTCGATCCTATCGGGAGGGGAATGGCCTTGCACAAGCTGGTCCTTGCACTCGGGTGGAAGATAAATGATTAGGAGCTTGTCTTTGGGTGTTTCTCAAAAACAAGAAAACAGTCTGGAACTTGCCTGACCAGCTCCTAAATTAATACTTGTGAAAAAAGAAGTCTCACTCGATTCTTCACAGAGCCATCATGGGCGGCCTATTTAGCAAAATCAACGATGCATTAGGTAACGATTCCTCCTGAAAGATTCATTAGTCAACAGAAGAAAGAACCTCGGGGCACCAGCGCCATGTCAGAGGCCTTCCAAGTGGGGAGCAAGGAGAACAAGGCCAAGCACCGGGCCTCACGCTCATGGGGCAGGGGGCCTCGTGAGAGGGGGCATTACTCCCTGTGTGATCGAGCCCCCATTATCAACTGGGGTGTTCCCCATTTCCCCATCCTTCTCTGGCACGTCTCTTTGTCCTGGGCTCCGGATTAGGTCTTTGTTTTTAATCTTGGGTCCTGCTCATGGGCCTCCCATTTGGGATAACAGCTTGGCCACTTGGGGAACAGACTGTGGGGCCAGAGATGCTTTTGGCAGGGATGGGTGATGATGATGATGATGATGATGATGATGATGAAATATTGCATTTCTATCTCATCACCCAAGATGGCGTATGAGGTTCTCCTCCTTGCCATTCTGTCCTCATAACAACAACCCTGTGAGGTAGGTCAGGCTGAGCAGCAGTGACTGGCCCAAAGTCACCCAGTGAGCTTTCATGTCTGAGCGAGGACTAGAACCGGGATCTCCCAGATCCCAGCCCAACATGCTAACCACTATACAACACTACCTCCCTTAGAGGGCTTTATGGGTTAGACCCAGCATCTTAAAGTAGGCCTGGAAGCAGAGACATAGGCAGTTGCAAGCAGGCCAGAGCCAGTGTTATATGTTCTGATCTTCTGGTCCTGCTTATTAAGTCTGGCTGCTAATATAGACATCTTAAATACATTTATTTTACGATAGCCCAAGCAGCCTATGAGCTTCCGGGAAATGAGACAGGCCATTGAGAAAACACTTGCCCACAAAGGACTCACGAGAGCCCTGTTCAGGCTGACTGGTGCCCGGAACGGGAGAGTTCCTCTCCAGGGCCGTGGGGCAGCAGCTACTGGGGCATCTGGGTGCCCAACGCACCCCCACGGCGCTTGCCGTCACCACCAGCGCTGCTCGCAAATCACCGCCAGCACCATCTTCCTGATCCTGCCGCGGATTCTGGAAGCAGAAAAGAGAAAGCTAGGCAAGGGCAGAGGTGAGAGAGAAAGGGAAAGGCTTGGCAGCTGGGAGGGGAGAGAAATGGCCAGATAAACATAGAAACATAGAATGTAGAAACAGAGCGAGTCAGAAGGGGTCTCCCGGGCCATCTAGTCTGACCCTAAAGGGTTGCATGGGAGAGAAGGGCAAGCTAGGAAGCGACAGGTGGCGGCCAGGGACAGGGACAGGAGAGAAGCAGCAAGCAGAGGGGTTGGTGGGCAGAAATCCCTAGGTCAGACCCAGGGGCAAGAGAGGATAGGGGCAAGTTTCGGGGACCCAGAAGGAGAGTGGGCAAGCCTGGATCAGCGCCTTCCATTTCTCCTGCCCTCCCAGCTCACTTGCTACTTCCTCTCTCCCCACTTCCTCCAGTGCACTGAACTCAAAAACCTTTAAATTAAATTATGTATTTATTTTAAACTTTTCTATACCGCCCCATCACAGACATCTTGGGATGGTTCACAACAACAATAAAATAAAATAAAAAGTAAAAATAGCACGGCTTCCAATATGAGATGTAAAACCACAGATTAAAACAAATTAGCAATTAAAATGTGGGAGAATGAAACGTGATGTAAGGCAGTAAAATCAAAGTATCTTGCCGACGCATCACCGAATGCTCGTAGCACTACAGAGCCAAGGAGGCTGATGTGGAAAACAGTCGCAGATATATTTGTGCTGCTTGAGGGTTTCTATTTTCAAACTGCTCCCTGGCACCATGAGGTCTTGGAAAGTTTCCGGGCTGCATGAAATCCCAGAGTCCGTTTAAACCGCACAGCTTTAAGGAGGAAGCCAAGGAAGGAAAACACCCCGGATTCCATAGCTTGACTCAACTGCCAAAACTGGCAAGACTGTTATTATTAGAAATGCGGCTGACAGCAGTGAGGTGCCCTCTCCGCTTCGTCTGCGTCGTCCCACAAATGGTGATTATTCCAAGGAAATATTAGCTGAGACGAGCACATTTTCTAGTTCCTTAGGGTAGAAGCTGAACTCGAACCTGTAAAAACAGGGTTGGTAATAATCCACGATGTTGTGGGCACTTAGTTCTTCAAAGAAAATGGAAATAATGTGCAGAGTTTTGCGTCTGGGTTGGTTTCCAACTCTCTCTCTCTCTCTCTCTCTCTCTCTCTCTCTCTCTCTCTCTCTC